AGTCTGGGTGACAGAGTGAGACTCCAACTCAAAAAAAAAAAGAAAAGAAAAGAAAAAGGAGATAAAAAATCCAATTTTTTAAAAAAAGGATCAAGCGCACAAATTTCACCCATAATTTTAAAAATCCAAATAATTGGCAATGATCTCTTGGACATAACGCCAAAAGCACTGGCACCAAAAGTCAAAATAGACACTTCCTGGCTTCCTCCCCTAACCCAACCCCCAACCCTCACCCAACAAGGGTGACACTTTGTCAGCTCCACCCACAGAAAGACACGGTGGAAGAAGGGAACACTCAGAGCCCAAGCTGTTCCGGTGGTCAAGCACATATGAGAGGAAACAAGACAAAGTGGGGGATGCCGTGTAGGCAAGTCTTAGGGTTCCATGAGCTGGGTATAAAGTTTCCAGAGAAGCAGGGCCTATGGGAGAAGTGGGGTGAGGAAGGGGTGTGGAGGAGGGCGTGTTTTCCTGGGGCCCTCAGTGCTCTCTGAGATCTGAGTGAGGGTGTAGTTGTTGGTCTACCACCTGGCAGGGGGCTGTGAGATGGGCCTGTGGGAGGCTGTGGTCCGTGATCGACTCCTACACGCCCCCGGGGAGCCCTGGCTATAGGGCATGGTGGCAGTGGCAGGTGGAGGGCGGGAGCTGCCTCCTCCTCTGGCCCCAGCCCACCCGGGGCCCACCTCGAACGTGAGATAGTGCTCCTTCAGCCGGTATTCCTCAGCCTCCTTGGACTTGATGCCCCTCTCCACTGGGTGACACCGGTGCTCGGCCAGCTCTGCAGTCACCTGCCTCAGCTTGTTCTCATGAGACCGCAGCTGCTCCTCCTGCAAAGACAAAGCCAGGACTGTGAGGAACTTCTCTTGGGACATCGTGGGGACATCTAATCCTGTCCATACAGCAACTGCTCCACCAAAGGGAAATTAAGGCCTGGCCAGGGTCACCAAAAATGTGGGTAGAGCCAGGCTCTGGACCAGAAGGAGTGCTCCTCACACCCTCCTCCCCGCTTCCTTGCTTCCACAGCTGCAGGCCGCAGCTGTCCTCCATGCCTCCAGCAGGCTGCAGAGACAAGAGACCCTTATACTCACAGGTACTCCCTGACACAGACATGCAGTGACCAGACATATCCCCAGCTCCCGTAACACAAACAACCAAACACACTGACCCAAGGCCAACCCGACCCTGGTCATCCTGGCTTCATGACATATTCTCTCACATTCATGCCCAGAAACACGAGACAGTCACAGACCTAGGATCACACCCAAAGACAGGCCAATACACTGTCACTCACAGACAAGCTCACATACATCCCCGCAGAAGAGCCCAACCCCCTTGTGCTGCGTGCATGTGCGTGCCTGTGTGTGGACACACACGCAGGTTGTGAGTGTGTGAATACATGTGTGCACATAGCGTGTATGTGCACTGTGTGTGTATATAATGTGCACATGCATTGTGTATATACGGCATGTGTGTGCATTATGTGTGTGCATTATATGTGTACATGACATGGATGCATTGTGTGTGTACATCGTGTGCATGCGTTGTATGTGTATGTGGCATGTGTGTATATTGTGTGCGTGTACATGATGTGTGCACGTGCATTGTGTGCACACGCCTTGGGGCTCTGGGTAGAAGCAGAAGCCCAGGAGCTCAGTGGAGAGACCCAGAACAAGAGGCCCAGGGAAAAGGGCCAGAGCTGGCAAGGATGGAAGCATGAGCTCCCCACACTGCCTCCCAGTTTCCAGCCACCATGTATCCGCTCCTCTCCAAAGAATCCTAAAAACCTGGAGCATGGAGGCATTAGGGGTTTTTTAGGATTACAAATAAAACATGAGTACTGGACGAAGGGTCAGCCAGGTGTCACCTGTCCGAGCCCACTATGCTACATACATTCTCTCACATTCACACCCAGACACACACGATGCCACAACCCCATGACCCCATGGTCACACCCACAGGATGCACAGCCTTGTCAGAGAAACAGGCCCATGCCACCCGCCTGACACAGCCGGGCCTCTGTGTGGTATGCACCATGCAGCCTCCGTCTTCCCATCTGCACAGAGGTGTGCTGTGGTGGAGTGGTGGGAAGGCTGCCCTTCTGTGGCGTCCCTCAGCCCAGAAGCAGGTGCCCTAGAGACGGAGCTGGGCTGGTACTGCTGAACGCCCGCTTGGGGAGGCAGCCTCGGGATTCTAGGAACTCATACCTGGCAGAGGCGAGTAGTGCAAGAGGGCAGCAGGGGCCGACAGAACTTCTTCATGGAGCTGACAGCAGCCGGAAAGGCTGGGGCTGAGAAGATGGCGGCCACCAGGTTGATCCTCAGGATCCAGGACAGCATTTCTTCCTTGCTCCTGGGGGTGGGAGAGTGGGGAGAGAGCCTCTGTCCCTCACAGTGGAACTCCCTGTGCCCCGCCCATCACCCAGCACTGGGCCTGGCCCAGGGAAGACACCAGAACCTTTAGAAGGCGGGTGAAACAGAGAGGAAGGATGTGTGGAGGGTCACCGGGCCTGGTCAGAGTCATGCAGGGCTGCCCCCCCCCACACACACACACCCATCCCAGCTGCAGAATAAACCTGGATTTTCATGTGAAAATAAAACTGCCAAGTACAGAGTTGGTGGCCCTGGAGCAAAGGGACCCTAGCAGGTGCATGCCAGGGACCACGACAGGCTGTGGTCAGCTGGTTACCCACAGTCCTTCTGCCCACCCGCTGCCTGCCCAGCACTGACTGTGACCCTGAGGCCTCCCCCTCCAGCCTCCTTCCTTTCCGGCTCATCCAACATGAGACCCCAACCTCAAGTCACAGAAGGATGGGTGCATGGCAGTGGAATGGAGGCTGTGCAGTCAACTGCAGGGCGTGTCTTTCCTGCCCGTCCCCTACACTTAAATTAGGGGGTGATCATAAAGACGCTACCTGCCCGTCCTTCAGGGGCCCCACCTTCCCCTGCAAGACTGCTTCAAACACAATTGCTGGGGCCCGTCCCCAGAGTTTCTGAGTCCGTCTAAAGCAGGCCCAGAGAGATTGCACTTCTAATCAGTTTCCAAGTGACACCAAGGGGGCCATACTTTGAGAACTGCTGCTTTGGGGGACCCGGCAGCTGAGGGGGTGCGCACAGAGGGGTGCCGCAAGCTGCAGGCTTAGAGAGGGGGAAGCTCAGCTCCCACTCACGGTGCCTGGAAGAGGAAGACCCTCCAGTCGGCTGTCTTCAACTTGAGCACGTTGGACTTCTTGCTGTAGTCAGAGGCCCTAGTGGCCAGCGCATGGTGTATGCGGATGGCATTCTTCAAGTCACCCTCTGACAGAGCCTTGTCAGGCCTGTACTCATCCTGGGGGTTGGAGGAAGTCTGTCAAGGCTCCAGTTCACTGACCCCACTTTGCACTCTCACCTCCCTACCTCTCCTTGCCTGCTCTGTCCCCATAGTCCCTGTTATCTGGAGTTCCTTCTGCAAGGATGCCTCGCCCACCCCAGCTAGGAACATTACATCACCCCTCCCCTGTACCCAGTCTGTCCCAGAGGCTTGAACAGGCCTCACACTGGGAACCACTGCACATTTCAAAGATTCTTCCCTAAAACCCCCAAAGCCTCAAGTGGGCCCGAGTCAGGGGAAGAATCCAGCATTTGCCTGGACCCCAAGTCCTGCCAGGACCCGCTGGGCATCACAGGCATCACAGGGGCTGGATGGGACTGAGCTGGCCCTGCCTGGGTACGGCATCTGGGGCAGTCTCTCACCTTCTGCAGGTACAGGATGGTCCCTTTGAGCACCGCATAGAACTTCTTCCAGCCACGCCTCCCACGGGGTGCTGGGGAGGGAGGCACAAGTAGTGTGGCCGCCACCACCTCCTCCAGTGTCTCCTACCCTGCCTCCCCTACACGTCCACCTGTATGTGCATCCCCAAGGAAGTGGCCTGGAGTGCAGGTCCCTCATGTCAGCACCCTCCCCGAGCCCCTCCCCCGGTTTGACACCCACTCCTCTTGCCATCCATGTCAGCGTGAGTCTTCCGGGTCAGTACGCCATGCTTGTAGGTGGTGGCACTGAGAGCCTGCGGGACATCCAGGAAGGGGTTGCCACCATCCAGGATCCGTGTCACCTTCTTCGTGCCTGTCCCAAACTTGTCATCCACCAACTCAGACAGGGATTTCCTCAGCTCGTCCTCATCACTAGGAAAGTACTAGGCCTGAGCACCACTTCCAGGGAGGCCCCAACCCCACAGCATCATGGCCTTTCCCCACCCACCACCCCTCTGGGAACCAAGGTCACAGGCGAAGGGCAGCCCCAGGAGACAGATACGAGGAAGTTCCAACTCCAGATCACAGATCCAGACCTCTGTCTCCTCCCCTCATCTTCAGTGCTGACCCCTGACCTCTGATCTTTGATTTTTGGCCTCCAGCTCCCAATCTTCACCCTTGACCACAAAGGTGGAGACTGTGCTATCTCCAGGTCTCCTTCTCAGTCTTCCTTCTCCCCTCCCAACCCAGGAAGCACTAGCCCATAGCCAGACCGAAGCTGCTGCATAAACCTCACCAACACACTGGCAGAGGGCAGGCCGGTAGGTGAGGCCCAAAGTTTGAGACCTCCTGGAGACCCTAGCAGAAGAGTGCAGGCTTCTCCCAGGAGGCTGGGGCTCCCACCAAACTTGCCTGGACCTTGACCTGGATCCAAAGGCCAGGCTTCCCTGGGGAGCACAGCAGGGAAGGGATCCCTCAGAGCCTTTCACAATTTCCCCAACCAGCAAAGTCACCATCCCCCTTTCCAGGTGGCTGGGTACCTCCAGGTCTCACTGCCTTCACAGGAGAAGTTAGGGTCAGTCACCTCTCTCCACTGCCAAGAGCATTCACCACCTAAACATGGTCATATCCTCAAGGTGATAGGGGACCCATGCCTTCTCTTGTCTGCCGACCTCCCACAGGGAAAGGAACTGCTGTGATTGGGAGCTGCAACAGTCTCCCCAGTATAGAAAATCAATTATGGGCATCAGAGAACTAAAGCCACAGTTCTACCTATTCCATGGCAGTATCAACATTGCCCACTTTTTGTCCATACAGAAAATGAGCCCAGAGGGGATCTCAGCACTGTGAGTCAGCCAGCTGGACGGGGAGTCAGAGCCCTGTCTGGGTGAGATCAGCACCATGGAGAGTGGTCAGCGCGACGGACCTGACCCTGGCACACCCATCCCGGTGAGGCCCACACCTGTGCCCATAGGCTCTACTCACATGGCCCATTCCAGCTTTTCGTTCTTGATGGAGTTGTACAGGGTCTGGGAGAGGGGAAAAGAGAGAGGGAGGAGCTTAGGTGAAGAATCGAAGAAACTCCCATCTACCCCGGGGGAGGTGAGTACAGTGAGAGAGAACGCCTTCAGCCAGTGGGGCAAAGTGGATGTTTGTTTGTTTGCTTGTTTGTTTTTTCCAAAATGGTGTTTTTTATTTTTATTCATTTTATTTTTTGTGTATGTGAGAAAGCAAGATTTACTGAGAGGACAGAAAAGCTCCCACAGTGGGAAGGGACCGGAAGGGGTTGCCCTAAAAGTGAGTGTTGGATGCCTACTTGTTTGTTGGATGGGTAAGTAGGTGGGTAGGTGGATGTATGGATGGGTGGCATTTAATTATGTGATCATGTAATGTCTGCTCCCTCAGGGGACTGTAAGCTTCATGAGGTTGGACGTTGTCTATTTGTTCATTTCTGAATCTCCAGTGCATAATCCAGAACTCAACATACAGTAGGTGCTCAACAGAGTGGATGGATGGATGGGTGGGTGGATGGGTGGATGGATGGATGGATGGATGGATGGATGGATGGATGGGAGGATGAGTGAGTGGATAGATGGGTGGGGTCGTGGCTAGATGGAGGGGGGAGTGGGGGATGAGGGAAATAGACAGGTGGATGGGTCAATAAATAGGGGACGAGTGAGTGGAATATATGGGTGTCTTTATGGGCAAGGGTATGGGTGAGTGGATGAATGGCAGGATGCTTGGGTGGGTAGATTTGAAGACAAGTGGGGTGGGTACATGAGTGGATAGGAGGCAGGTGAGTAGGTGTGGCATGTGCATGGAGGAGTGTTGGGCGTGTACGGGTTGATGGATGACTAGGTGGGTATATGGTTAGGTGAATGGCTGGATGGCTGGGTGGCTGCATGAGAGGATGAGTGGGTGGATGGAGAAGTGGGTGGATGGGTGAATGAGCAGATGGGCAGAAGTGGCTAAGGGGGTGGGTGGTGGGACGGGAATTGTTGATCTCACAAATCATCCTTAACTAGTGCTTCCTGGTGGTGAAAGATAATACAGGAAGAGGTGATGGAGATAATATTCTATTTTTTGACCTCCAAACTCACTATCCACTGCCCCTCATATCACAAGGTTCTTCAAACCCACCATCTAAAAATGAATCCATCACCCACCCCCAAAAACCCTGCTGCTCTTCCTCCAAGGTAGAAAACTGACCAGGCTGGAAAGACTGGAGTTCCACCCTGGGCTTCAGCCTCGAAAGAAAACTAGATTCTCCCAGTTGCTGGTGATGTGAGGAACAAATAGACTGTTCCTTGTGGTGATGATGGTGACGGTTGTGGTAAAGGAGGTGATGGTGGTGCTGGGTAGCAGCTGTGATCATTGGTGGCAGTGTTGATTATTACCGTGACAGCGGTGATGGTAACGCAGCATTAAAAACACACCTCACAAAGCCCCACCCCCACCTAATTCGTGGAGCAGATTAGCCACTGTTGAGCTGAATGGTCTCTAACTTGCTCCAAAAGCCATGGTAGCCCTACCCCCAATACCAAAAGTTCTGGACTGCCAGGATTTAGTGGGACTGAGACCTCTTTGCTCTCTACCCGCCCAGGGGCACAGCGAGCTAGGGACACAAGGCCCCTAAGCAGGTAATACCTTCAGCAGGTCTTTGGCAAAGTCTTGGCCATCATTCAACTGGTCCAAGTTGGCGATGAATTGCTGGCAGGACATCTTCTTGCCAATGTTCTGTAATGGAGAATCAGCTCTGCCTAAGACCAGGGAAGGAGTCTTATGGCCCCAACACCCTGCCCCGCCCATCCAGAAGGGGCAAAGCAGCATCAAGGGCAGTAATGAAAAGAAAATTGCCTGAATCTCCCTTTGCCTCCAAGAGTTTACAAGACTCATTTTCACATTGAAGGTTCTGTTTGGTTCTCAAGCATCATGAGAGGCGGGAACTCTCCTCAAACCCAGATGAGGGAGTCAGGTTGGGATGGATTACTGATACAATTGACATTGGTGGGTCCCTGCTCTGCTCCAGGTGTTGTACTTGACATGCACTATCTTCTTTTCTTCCCACCCCAAGGAGAAGGTGAGGTCAGCGTTTTTACTATCCCCATGTGACAGGTGAAGAGACTGAGATACAGGGAGGTGAAGTGATGTGCCTATGATCACACAACAAAAAAGTGCAAGGGCCAGGTGTGTCTGACACCAAAGCCTATGCTCTCACCCGCTACTCCATGGTTAATTCTCCCAAGGTCACTCAGCACCAGGACTTGAACCCAGGCCTCCTGGCTTCTGAGCAGAAGCTCTGTGAATTCCGCCACAACTGTCTCCCCCTCTCACCTGCACAGAGGGGCAGCAAGACTTCCAACAGGTAGGTGAAGTGAGGGAGCGTTTGGTCTAATGAGAATCAAAAATCAGTTTCCACCAATACACGTGGGTACCCCATGCTGAGCTGGGCTGGGACAAAAGAGCCCAAGCAGATGGTCACTCCCGGAGGCACAAACAGGCAAAGAGCTGAAAATGACTGTAATCCCAAGTTCTGCCTTATTTTTTTAACCACTGAGTAGCAGAGGGTTTCAAGCCCTCCAAACCCAGCACTTCATATTCACACTTTGAGACTCTCCTTCAAGGATTTGCGTTGGAGAAAACAGGGGGTGTGCTTCCTCTTTGTGAGGATAAAGACCCTTGAACACCAGGTACACCTGTAGGATTATGTGGATTTGAGTCTGCTATATGGCAGTGTTTTCTAAGATTTACCTGCAGAACCCTGGCATCCCATGAGACGGAAATAGATAGTTTCTCAAAAAATTTCCTAGTCAAACAAGTTTATTAAATGGCTCAGTCTTTGCCATGCTTACGTGTGCTGGCCAGCTCCAAGAAGAAGATTCCATGTCAGTTTCCCAAATTCATTGACCTTGACACCATTTTAGCAAAGACACTCTATTAATATCATGGGGGACATTCACACACCACAGAAATAATTTGGAAAACAAGGACATAAGGCTTTATAAGTAGCTGAATGGCAAGAATTGTCTATGCCTTTTCCAAGGTTAAGAAGAAAAGATTTTGAGTGTGCCTTGATATGTGTGTTTTATACATTAATGTGTGTAGTTTTTAAAATATGTGCGTGTATACATATAAGTACATAGCCATGTATGTGTGTATTTGTGAGAGAGTCATATGAGGCCAATGTTGTTAGTACTATCTTTGAGTCCCACACAAATGAACTCCATTAGGCAATAGTGCAAAACCCAAAAACATCCAGGAAAGATTTCAAATCTAAGCAACGTCAGACTATTTTGTTGTGGATGAACCTCTTCAACAGAAACACCTGTTGGTCAAAATATGAATAAGTCCTCAGTGTAGGATCACTGAAGGCATTATAAAGGCAATGAAAACCTCAGGGATGTAGATACTGCCAGGAAGGGAAATGTGAAGAGGTGACCCCAACCAGGAGAGCTCTCCTTCTGGAAGCGCTGGCTGTCCCAGCTGTGGCCAGAAGGCAGAGCCACTGAGTAGTCTCAGAGGACTTGGAGACCAAAAGCTGGAGGTCAGGCCCCTCCCAGAACAAGGGGCCCAGGAAACATCCCAGTCACACTTCCACAAAAAAGTTGAAATTAAGAAGGAAAATGCTGAAAAAAGTTCTCCAGACAGAAGGAAAATGATCCCAGATGGAAGCACGGAGAAGCAGAAGGAACGACCAGCCAAGAAAGACCGGGTGACTCGGAATGAGTGCTGATTATGTAGAGTAACAATAATTTTTTTTTTTTTTTGAGAAGGAGTCCCACTCTGTCACCCAGGCTAGAGGGCAGTGGCACGTTGCTCGTGGTCACCACAGACTCGGTCTGCTAGGCTCAGGCAATCCTTCCGCCTCTGCCTTCCAAGTAGCTGGAACTACAGGCACATGCTACCACGCCCGGCTAACAATAATGTTTTCTGGGGAATAAAGTACAGATGTAGAGCTAAAAGCATGATACTAGTAGCATATAACTTGAGAGAGGAGTAAATGGAATTAAAGTTTTTTAAGGTATTTCATTCCCCAGGAAGTGGTACAAGTACTTTATAATAAGTCAAGGATGCAAATTGCAAATCACAAAAAGAATTCTGGAACAATGCACATCTATATCAAGCTAACAGAGGGGGGAAATGGAATTCTAAAAAAAAATACTTAAATAATTCAAAAGCAGGCAAGAAAGGAGGAAGAAAAAAACAACTGATGAGTCAAAGAGAAAACAAATAGTAACCTGGTATATTTAAACTCAAATACATTGTAATTCATTAAATGCTCAAATTAACATGATTATCAGATTTGATGGTTTTTAAGTATAAAATATATATGCCTTAAATATAAAGGAACAGAAATTGTGGAAGCAAAAAGACAGAAAAGGATGTATCATGTAAACACTAACAAAATAACTCCAGTATGGCCCCACTGATATCTGACAAAATAGATTTGAAGCAAAAACCATTTTTAAGCCGGGCTTGGTGGCTCAGCCGGTAATCCTGCACCTTTGGGAGGCTGAGGTGAGCGGATTGCCTGAGCCCGTGGGTTTGAGACCCGCCTGGGCAGGCGAGACCTCATCTCTACAATAAATCAAAAAAAATTAGCTGGGCATGGTAGCCTGCGCCGGCTACTCGGAAGGCTGAGGCAGAAGGATCGCCAGAGACCAGCAGGTCGAGGCTGAGGTGGCCAGGAGCAGCCACTGCACTCCAGTCTGGGCAACAGAGTGAGACTCCAACTCAAAAAAAAAAAAAACCATTATTAGAGATAAACAGAGACATTTTCACAACGATAAAAGGGTCAATCTGCCAGAATATATAATCATCCTAAATCTGTGTACACCTAATAGCATAGTTTCAAAATATTACAAGACAAAAATGGAAAGAACAAAAAGAAGACATATTCACAATCTTGGTTGGATTTTAGCATTGCTCCTGTAGTTACAGGAAGAACAAGCAGACAAAAAATCAGCAAGAATACTATGTACCAAAATTAGATAACCTAGATGAAATAGACAAATTCTTAGAAACACAAACTACCAAAATTTATATTTCAAAAGATAGAAAATCTGAATAGCCCTATAACAAAGAGATTTAATTAAGAATCAGAAATTTCACAACAAAGAAAAGCCAAGGACCAGGTGGCTTCATTGGTGACTTTTACTGAACATTTAAATAAAAATTAGTCAGGCATGGTGGATCACACCTATAATCCCTGCACTTTGGGAGGTCAAAAAGGGAGAATCACTTGAAGCCAAGAATTCGAGACCAGGTTACAGAACCTGGTCTCGAAAAAAAAAAAAAAAGTTTTTTAATTAGCCGGGCATGGTGGTGCATGCATGCCTGTAGTATCAGCTTCTCAGAAGGCTGAGATGGCAGGATTGCTTGAGCCCAGGAGTTTGAGATTACAGTGAGCTATGGTCACAAAACTGCATTCCAGCCTGAGTGACAGAGTAAGACCCTGTCTCTAAAATTTAATTAATTAAAGTAAGGAAGAAGCAATACCAGTCCTTTTCAAGCTCTTCCAAATACTTGAAGAGAATGGAACACTTCCTAACTCATTCTATAAGGCCAGCATTGTACGCCAAAGACATCACAAGAAAGAACAACTACACATCAATATTGTTTGTGACTACAGTTGCAGAAATCCTCAATACAATACTAGCAAACTGAATCCAGCAGCATATTAGAGGGATTATTCACTATGGCCAATGGAATATATCTTTGGAATTACACATGATCCAACATACAAAAATCTATCATTATGATACACCACATTAACAGAGTGAAGAGAAAAAGAAAACACATGATCATCTCAACTGATGCAGAAAAAGAATTTGGCAAAATCCAACCTTTCATCATAAAAACACTCAACACACTAAGACTAGAAGGGCACAAGCTCAACATGTTAAAGGACATTCATGAAAAACCCACAGCTAACATCATACTCAGTGTGAAAGACTGAAAGCATGCCCTCTAAGATCAGGAACAAGGCAAGGCTGCCTGCTTTCAACCACTGTTATTCTACATTGTACTGAGAGTTCTAGCCAGAGCAATTAGGCAAGAAAAAGAAATAGAAGACAGTGAAATGAGAAAGGAAGAAATAAAACTACTTTGATTCACAGATGCCATGTTCTTCCACATAGGTATCTTAGATATGACACCAAAAGCACAAACAACCAAAGAAAAAATAGACAAATTTGGACTTATCAAAATTATAAACTTTTGTACATCAAAGACACTAGCAAGAGAGTGAAAAAAACACACAGAAAGAGAATATTTGCATGTCATATATATATACATATATATATATACATATAAAGTCTTGCATCAGAATACATAAAGAACTCTTAGAATACAACAACAAAAGATGAACAACCTAATTTTAAAATGGGCAAAGGACTTGAATAGATATTTCTCCAAAGAAGACATACAAATGGTCAACAAGCACATGAAAAGATGCTCGGCATCACTAATCATCAGAGGAATACAAACCACAATGAGATACCATTTCACATCCACTAGGATGGCTATAATTTAAAAAAAGAAGTAAAAGATGGATTGGTAGGGATGCGAAGAGATTACAACCCCTATACATTGCTGATGGGAATGTAAAATAGTTCAGTCACTGTGAAAAACCGTTTGGCACTTCCTCAAGACGTTAAACATAGAATGATCATATGACTCAACAAGTCTAACGTAGGTATATACCCAAAAACAGATGTTCAAACAAAAACTTGAAT